CTTAGCTTTTGTAACACTTATTTCTTCAATGTCATTATGATGAAGGGATGTTATAAGTGAGGGTACATATTTAGGTAACCATACATTAGCAGTACAAAGAGGTTTAAATATGGGTGTGGCTTTATTTATAGTTTCGGAAGCATTATTCTTCTTAGCTATATTTTGAGCTTTTTTTCACAGTGCCTTATCTCCTACAGTAGAATTAGGAGCACAATGACCACCAATGGGTATAGAAGCTATTAACCCATTTGAATTACCTTTACTTAACACAGTAATACTGTTATCAAGTGGTGTTACAGTTACATATGCTCATCATTCTTTAATACAAGGAAATAGAAGTGGAGCTTTATATGGATTAGTGGCTACAGTAATCTTAGCTGTAATATTCACAGGATTTCAAGGTGTAGAATACACTGTTTCTTCTTTTACAATAAGTGACGGTGCCTTTGGATCTTGTTTTTATTTTGGTACGGGTTTTCATGGGCTTCATGTTATGATAGGTACTGCTTTTATTGCGGTAGGTTTGTGACGAGTATTAGCTTACCATTCGACAGAAAATCATCATTTGGGTTTGGAATCGAGTATATTATACTGACACTTTGTGGATGTGGTATGGCTATTTCTTTTTATATCAATATATTACTGAGGATCCTAAATAAAATTTACAATAATTTAAATAATAGGGGTTTAATATCTAGTCCACCGAAACCCGCGGGTTTCGTTACAATAAATCTAGAAAGTTCTATTATACCAAAAAAGGTTATATATTCTCATCTTATACCTAATAAAATAAGTACATTTAATAAGAATAAAGTAATAAGTATACCTACACCCTTAGATAGTGCTAAATTAACTTTACCCGAGATAGGTACATATAAGTTCCAATACTGATTAAAAGGTTACGATATTAATAATTTACATGTTTTAGATAGCAATTATTTAAATTGATATAAAGTACGAAAAGCTCTTCTAGACTTTGAAGCGAATAAAGTGTCTCAGCAGTTGCCTGAATCTTTTAATAGCTGTCGTGAAGCGTTGTTTCAAGTAGTAGGATATTTAGAATTTAAATACCCTGATGCTTATATAAGTATATATATAAATAATGAATTGCACATCGTAAATAAAATAAATGGTGAAGTGTACT